CCTTAACCACCTGGCCATGTCAGGTCCTTAACTATCTGGCCATGCCGGGCCCTAAACCACCTGGCCATGTCGGGTCCTTAACCACCTGGCCATGTCGGGCCCTAAACCACCTGGCCATGTCGGGTCCTTAACCACCTGGCCATGTCGGGTCCTTAACCACCTGGCCATGTCGAGTTCTTAACTACCTGGCCATGTCAGGGCTTTAACTACCTGGCCATGTCGGGTCCTTAACTACCTGGCCATGTCGGATCCTTATTGAATTAAGGTTTACGTTTATCGCCATGTAGATATCGGCATAAGTCATAAATAAACATCCTAGTTAGTGTCTTGTTGGTTTTTCTTTTACAAGAAATCAGTTCTTATGGGTCATGATTAAACATCCTGGTTAGTGTCTGGTTGTTGTTTTTTACAATCAGCCGTCATGGGTCATGATTAAGCATCCTGGTTAGTGTTTCGTTGGGTTTTTACAAGCAAGCAGCCCTTATGGGTCATGATTAAACATCCTGGTTAGTGTTTCGTTGGGTTTTTACAAGCAAGCAGCCCTTATGGGTCATGATTAAACATCCTGGTTAGTGTCTGGTTGTTGTTTTTTTACAATCAGCCGTCATGGGTCATGATTAAACATCCTGGTTAGTGTTTCGTTGGGTTTTTACAAGCAAGCAGCCCTTATGGGTTATGATTAAACATCCTGGTTAGTGTTTTGTTGTTGTTTTTTTACAAGAAAGCAGCTCTTATGGGTCATGATTAAACATCCTGGTTAGTGTTTCGTTGGGTTTTTACAAGAAATCAGTTCTTATGGGTCATGATTAAACATCCTGGTTAGTGTTTTGTTGTTGTTTTTTTACAAGAAAGCAGCTCTTATGGGTCATGATTAAACATCCTGGTTAGTGTTTCGTTGGGTTTTTACAAGCAAGCAGCCCTTATGGGTCATGATTAAACATCCTGGTTAGTGTTTTGTTGGGTTTTATGGGTAGTAATACAAACCGAGTTTAAATGATATGATTTTATAAAAAAGGAAATATTTATATATCATTAAGTTCTTAAAACCACATGCATACGTTTGACATTTGCTCATAACAAATAATAAAACCCATACCATGATCAGCTCTGCAGGCTTATAATGCTTAAAATCGAGTTTCGAATCCCGTGGGGGCAGAGCACTGATAGCCCATTGTGTAGCTTTGTGCTTAACAAAAATCATGATCAGCGGTGTAGTCCACTTTTGAACCATATTAACTCCCGTTAGCCCAGTTACGTCTGTTGGAGAATGGACTATATTAACTCCGATTACCTCAATTACGTCACTGTTGGAGAATGGACTATATTAACTCCCATTTGCCCAGTTACGTCACCGTTGGAGAATGGATTATATTAACTTCCATTAGCTCAGTTACGTCACCGTTGGAGAATGGACTATATTAACTCCCCATTAGCCCAGTTACGTCACCGTTGGAGAATGGACTATATTAACTCCCATTAGCCCAGTTACGTCACCGTTGGAGAGTGGACTGTATTAACTTCCATTAGCCCAGTTACGTCACCATTGGAGAATGGACTGTATTAACTTCCATTAGCCCAGTTACGTCACTGTTGGAGAATGGACTGTATTAACTTCCATTAGCCCAGTTGCGTCACCGTTGGAGAATGGACCATATTAACTTCCATTAGTCCAGTTACGTCACTGTTGGAGAATGGACTATATAAATTCCCATTAGCCCAGTTACGTCACCGTTGGAGACTGGACTATATTAAATCCCATTAGCCCAGTTACGTCTTTAAGTAAAATCTACATCAGTACAAGAACTGCTGCCCATATTTAAAAGGATTCTTGGTTGGTATGATCTTAGACCAATTATTCACCTTCAACTTTGTATCATTAGCGTATTTCTAAATAAGTCAGTCCCATCCAAGCAAGATAAAATATAAGATTATAATCCTTTACACCGGCCATTTTGTCTAAAAGTTATTTTCGTTATATTTGTATTATATGGAGTGGTTTTTTTCTACATTTCTCGCAGAAACGTGCAGCATCTGTTGATATGAAACAGGTCACAATGATGTTTTAAAGTAAACTTTGAAAAGGCTTAAAACCAAGTGTAATTTATCTATTTTCTGTACGTGTAAACATCAAAGGCAAGTCAAAAGTCAATCAAACGATAGTTATATTTATCACAAATACCGAAATTTATAAAATAATTGAAGCAATATATATATATATATTTATTTATTTAGGTCACTTTGAGGAGTCACGATAGTAGTTATACATAAATAAAAC